TGCTTCATTTAATGTGGGGTTCAAGGACATATGGCACATGGGTGGGATGTGTCTCCAGGCTGGTTTTCTCTTTTATTTGCCACCACCAAAAAAATAGCAGCTGAAAATTTGTACAGGTATGCAACTTCTGAACAAGCATCGTGCCCCCATATTGGTAGTGATGGTGCAAAGGCCTGGTTGTTCTAGCTTCCTCTTCTGGAAAATAAGGTGTTATTTTGCTATATGATGCTTAGGTGGTAGTTCTATTAAAAAAAAAGCAAAGCGTGCTGCTGATATACCGTGCAGTTCTATTAAAAAAAGCGTGCTGCTGATATACCGCCCCATAGTGTTTCAAGCACTCTCTGGTCGGTTTACAAATTAGTTATGCAGGCTACACAGTGCCCCGCCAGCGAGCTGGGTACTCATTTTACTGGCCTCGGAAGGATAGAAGGCTGAGTCAACCTTGAGCCGGCTACCTGGGATTGAACCCCAGGTCGTGAGTACAGTTTTGGCTGCAGTACAGCAGTTTAACCACGGTGCCACGAGGCTCAGTATAAGAGTAAGTGACATTGAATTCAGTAGCTCTTTTGAGTAGCATGGGATTGTTAGAGGTTTCCTAGTTTTAGGAGATTCGTTTTTCTCATATGTTGAAAGCTTCGTAAGGTTTTGAGGTCTCCACCACAAAAATGAGTTGATGACAATTTCTGTTCTTAAAATATCCTGTGTTCTGTATACATGGATTATCCAGTGTTCTCCACACGCAACAAACAGTAATAAATACATCATAGCTATCAGAAGATATTAAATAAGTCCTGCTCTAAAAAGAAAGTACAGTGAATGTTTTCTGATAAGTTTTGAGAAAATGCAGCTGAATTTCCATTTGCTATTTGTAATTGACCCTATTCCTATAACATATTCAGTGATGTATATTTAGTTTGTTTCACCCACTCAGTGTTACTTGCACATGTGTCTTGTTTTCTGTTTATTGTAAGACTGACTGGTTGGCTTTGTAATAATTTGTAGTTACCTGTATAACTGAATGTTCCTAAATAAAAGACCTAAACTGCTTCCTATACTGGCTCCCAGAATTGGCTGTCTGTGTTATGTATTGATGGTTTTAATAATCTCTATGTAAGACCAAGAGTGAGAGAGAGACTTCTCACGGGAGTGCCGTCCCTCCTGGCGACCGCTGAGAAAGAAAGCCAAACCCCACCTGTTCCCCCACTGGGAGTGCCGTCCCTCCTGGCGACCACTGAGAAAGAAAGCCAAACCCCACCTATTCCCCCGCTTGTCTAGGAAGACAAGACCTCCTGGACCTGACCTGGGGCACATAGAGAGAGAGATTTAAAAGAACTAATGGTCACGGAGACCAGGACTATCTTCATGGGAGCAGGAGAAAAAGGGCGGGAGGTGGTAGAGGCGGGGTTAGGAGATATAAAAAGGGGGTGAAGGAGAGTTGCCTGAATGTTGGGAGTGGATTTGGGTGGAAGACCCATGGATGGGAAAGATGGAAAAACGTAGAGTCCCAAACGAAGAGGCGAATGCCCGGAGGAGGAGAGAACTTAACTCTAAACCATCATACTGGGGTGAGAGAGAGACCAAAAAGTGGCAGAGGAAATTGAGAGAGGAAAGAGAGAGGGTGGAAGGAGAACGACGGGAGAGATTGGAATTGAGAATATGGGAGACACAACAGAGGGAATTCTGGGAACTCTGTGGCAGACGGGGGGACCCACCCAGGAGTGTGACTGGGTGGACGTTTGAGAGGAGGACACCATCCCCTTGCTGGAAGGAGAGGGGGGATTATTACTAAACCCCGATACCCCACCGGAGTGGCTGGGTCCCTGGAATGACCAGAGTGGAAACCCTTTTTAGTTAGAAGAACGGAACCCCCCATCAGACCTGTTGTCAAAAGGGGAGAAGGTTTGGAACACGTTTATAGATACTGGCCTTTTGTTGAATAACCCAATAAATGTTTCCCCTATTTCTAAATCAAAGAGATCTGTTGCGTTATTTAAAAAAGAACAGGACCTAACCACTGAACCCTCACACGCAACTATCATATTAGTTATTCATATATTGGTTATATATAGTGGTGCCTCGACTTACAAACGTCCCAACATACGGCCATTTTGAGTTACAACCAGCTCCGGCCACAAAATTTTGCTTTGACTTGCAGCCGGAGCTTCGAGTTACAACCAAAAAAGGCAGGGGGAAAAAGGCAGGGAATTCAGATTGCTAACCGTCGCTTCTTTGAGGAAGAGAAGGGTTGAGGCTCCTTCTTTGTAGCTCTTTCACCCCAAAGGTTAGAGAGTGTGCGATCGCAGGAGGCTTTGGACTGCCTCGTAAGGTAAGGTGCTGCTTTCTACTTTTAAAAAACTGTTTTGGGACGGTTTTGCAGCGTGGTTTTGGGATGGGTGGTGGGATTATGTTTCTGTGCTGTGATGGGTCTTGCAGGGTTTGTTTTTTGGTTTCCCCCCATGGGTCGTGTGGGGTTTCTTTGCTTTTTTTGTTTTTTTTCCCATTTCCAATGGGTTTTGCAGTGTTTTTTTTTTTTGGGTCCCCCCATTTCCGATGCATCTTGTGGGCTTTGTTTGCTTTTTGGGGTTTTACCCCATTTCCCATGGGTCTTGTGGGGTTTGCTTGCTTTTTTGCTTTGCTTTTTCTGTATTTCCGAAGGGTCTTGCACCGTTTGTTTGCTTTCTGCTTTGCTTTTTCCCCATTTCTGATGGGTCTTGCAGATGGGTCTTGCACAGTTTGTTTGCTTTCTACTGTGCTTTCCCCCCATTTCCGATAGGTCTTGTGGGGTTTGTTTGGTTTTTGGGGTTTCCCCCTATTTCCGATGGCTCTTGGTTTTTGGTTTGCTTTTTCTGCATTTCGGAAGGGTCTTGCACCATTTATTTGCTTTCTGCTTTGTCTTTTTAGCATTTCCGAAGGGTCTTGCATGGTTTGTTTGCTTTTTGCTTTGCTTTTTTGAATTTCCGAAGGGTCTTGCATGGCTTGTTTGCTTTTCTTTTCCCCCTCCCCTTCGGCCTATTTCCGATGGCTCTTGGTTTTTGGTTTGCTTTTTCTGCATTTCGGAAGGGTCTTGCACCATTTATTTGCTTTCTGCTTTGTCTTTTTAGCATTTCCGAAGGGTCTTGCATGGTTTGTTTGCTTTTTGCTTTGCTTTTTTGAATTTCCGAAGGGTCTTGCATGGCTTGTTTGCTTTTCTTTTCCCCCTCCCCTTCGGCCAGAACAGATTATTAGCGTTTCCCATGGGTCTTGCAGTTTTGTGTTTTTTGGGTGATTTTTTCTTTGGCTGGAATGGATTAACTGCATTTCAGTGCATTCCTATGGGAAATGATGCTTTGACTTACAACCATTTCGAGTTACGACCGGAGTTCTGGAACCAATTAAGTTCGTAAGTCAAGGCACCATTGTAACTAGTTAATCCTCTATGTGCACCTTTAAATAGACACAGATATACATATCTCAAACATAATAGTTACTCCATGTTTTTAAGTTATGGACCAGAAAAGAAAGTTCATTTTCCTTTCTTAGGAAACAAAACTATTCATGTTAGAATTAGAATTTATTTATTAAGGTCAGATGACCCGCCCATGAAACATATCCTTGTAACTAGTTAATCCTTTATGTGCACCTTTATGCACACAGTATGTATATACATATCTCAAACATAATTGTTACTCCATGTTTTTAAGTTCATAGTCTGTTACTTCATTAAGTTATGGACCAGAAAAGAAAGTACATTTTCCTTTCTTAGGAAACAAAACTTAAATTTTACACTTTTCTAAGATTTGTTTCAGATGTTGGAATTAATATTCAAATACGAACTATCCTAATTGTACTAACTTTTCCTCAGAGAGCTTGGGGCAGCACACATGTGTCTTCCTTTTCCCATTTTATCTTCATACCCCATCAGGGCTGTTTTGTTTTTGTTTCTTTTGAGGAATTGTTACCGCTTCCCATATCTTCTCAATGAGTTCCTCTTGTTTCGGTATCACCGATTTCTTCTAATTCTTGGCATAAAGAATTCTGGCTGTGGTGACTATATACGTAACTAAGTAGCTCTTTGTCTTACCTGTATTGTCTGGTATAATACTCAGTAGAAACAGTTCTGGGGTTAGTGGAACCTTACAAAGCAATATTTTTTGTAACAGAGTATGTACACCTATCCAAAATTGTTTCGCTACTCTGCAAGTCCACCACATATGGTAAAAACTTCCCTCCCTCATGTGGTTCACACTTCCCACAAACGTTTGACACATTGGTATAAATCTTTGATATTTTTCCCAGAGTCATATACCACCTGTATGTGTTGATGTCTGTAGAGTGGGGTAGGAGATGGAAGAAGGTTAAGGCTGGCTAGATACTTGCAGCTATGGGTAAAGCATATGTTTTGCAAATGCTATGTCTCTCTTTAAGAGGTTTTTCAAGCTTTGCAAGAAAAGGCCGAAAGCTTATCTTTATGTAAAAATCTCTTCAGTTTGAAAACTCATTGGCACAGATAGTTTCCCAGTAGAGCTTTTTCAAGGACTTATTAGTAACTGATCCTTTATAAAACATGATTCATGGGAAAGGCTTCTTAGATTAATAATTGAAAATCTCTGTGATCTCAGTTTTGGAGAATTAACCAGGCCCTTATGAGAACATGTCATAAATACTCATATTCTTGCTAATTATGGATGAAAACTCATGGTGTAGATTTCAATATTTAATTTACACACCACTCTGTGACTCTTAATTGATGTGCTCTGGTTACAGAATCAATTTTGACTTGCACAGAATATTGTAATTAGTGAGCAGGCTGACTGTGTGGAAACTGTTTAACATAATGATTTTTTAAAAACCTAATTTATTGTAGAAGGGCTTGTTTCTTTGGAGCAGTTACTTTGACAGCATTATGTGTTGACTTCTGCATTAAATTGGGGGCTTTTCTTTAATCATTTCATGGAAAAAAGATTTCATACATACAAAAATAGCTGTTTAATATTGTTATCCTTTGTTTTCATAGATATATTATATACCATTCTACAAGATGAGTAACAGTCACCCACTTCGTCCTTACACTGCAGTAGGTGAAATTGACCATGTTCACATTCTGTCTGATCATGTTGGAATTCTGATGAATGGAGAGGAATACAGTGATGTTACCTTTATAGTGGAAAAGAAACGTTTTCCTGCACATAGAGTGATTCTGGCAGCAAGATGCCAGTATTTCAGGTGAAGTATATCTTGCTATCACATGTACTGAGAGCTTCAGGGCAAGCAAGATACAGTGGAAATCCACTTAAAAAGTATATGGTGCCATCTGTTCAATGTATGTGTCTGAATGATGTCACAGTTTTTAAATGTGAGCATCTACCTAGTTTGACCTGTACTAAAAAAAATCTGAAACAAATATATTATGTTCAATATGGACTGAAATTCAGAAACAGTTTTTAAATGTGAGCATCTGCCTATTTTGACCTTTACTAAAAAAATGTGAAACAAATACTGTATACAGTGGTGCCTCGCTTAAAAGAAAAAATGTTCCTGTGAATTAACAATGTATTTATAAATTATATGTATAAAACACAACTTAGAATTTTATTGCCATTTGTGAAAAGTCACATCTTATCTCTGGTTTGGTTTTTGAAATGAAATTGTATACCCTTTCCCACAGTTATGAGAAGTAGCTCTGTCTCCCTCTTTCCCATAACCTCAGAGAGAAGTGACAAATGAGGTGCCACTGGATTATGTCCTGGGGCCCTATGTTAATTTTTTTTTTTTATAAATGGGTTGGATAAAGGCATAGAGAGGATGTTTGTGACATTTTCAAGTAATGCCAAACTGGGAGACGTGACTAATCCTACAGAAGGTAGATTCACAATTTAAAGATGAGAGTTGAAAGATCTGGGCCAAATCTAAAAAATTGTTGAGAATTTTGGTTAAACATGTATTCTCAGAACATTAGCAGAGTTAGGAGATACTAGTTTGCATAGAAACTGTGACACTGAGAGAGTAAAATATCAGGTAAAGGTTCCCATTGACATTTAGTCCAGTTGTGTCCGACTCTAGGGGGCGGTGCTCATCCCCGTTTCCAAGCCGTAGAGCTAGCGTTTGTCCAAAGACAGTTTCCATGGTCACGTGGCCAGCATGACTAGACATGGAACGCTGCTACCTTCCCACTGTGGTGGTACCTATTTATTTACTCGTGTTTTTACATGCTTTCAAACTACTCCGTTGGCAGGAGCTTGGACAAGTGACAGGAGGTTTTTACATGCTTTCGAACTACTCCGTTGGCAGTAGCTGGGACAAGTGACAGGAGCTCACTCCACCGAGTGGATTCGAATTGCCCAGAGGCTTTGCGCTACTTAGTCGATTAGCATATATCAGAGAGAATAGAAATTCATCTGGCAGCATAACATGACATGATACAACACATAGCATAGGGTAAAAAAGTGATCTGACTTACAGTAGATAAAATGTCCCCTTTGCACATGACTTATGTACAGTTCTGGGATCAATTAGAAAATACATTACTTCATTTTGCAGTTACACAAAGTTTCCTCATGTACCACAGCTGTACAGTATTAAATCTCAAACCTTGGTAACTTCACTCGAATACAGTCAGTACAATGACTCAGGTAAAATCAGCCATTTTACTTTCAACCATACAACATTTATATTTAATACATATTCATATCAAAATCTCAACTGAAATTCAGCTGGGAAAAATGGGAAGTTCCACATTTAGGTGGGGGGAAAATCAGATGCATTAATAACAGGATGGATCTAAGAATCTTGGTGGGTCTGAGGCTTAAAGTAAGTAAGCACTAAAGTAGCAGTCTAATTTTCTCACTAAATTTAATTTGAGATTCTTCTGAATGTATAACTTTGAACCACAGTTCATAATTTTTTGTAATCCATCCTAAACCTGGAATATTGATTACGACATGGGAAAAAATAGTGGGGAGTCTCAAAGACAGTGCACAAGCATATATTACATATTGAGTTCCTATTCAGTACTGGTGTGTCTGCAGATTTTCATGGAATCCTTGAATATCTTCTTCCAGTACCACAGTCCTTCATATTCTGGAACATCACCCAAACTAACTTAGCATTTTTTTTATTTTTGGAAGCTCTTGGATCTGCTAGGTGAAAGAAATGGCAAGGAAGTCTAGTTCAGCAAGTTCTGGCAAAGTGACCCTGGATGTACAACATCTGGTGCATGCCTCTGAATTAAAATAATTTGTTTTCCTCCTTTTTCCATAATTGCATATGAAAATAGTTTGCAAGTAAATTTCAGAAGAACTCTTTGTTATTTATTCTAATACCTATTAGCAAATGCCAGGTTTAATATTGCAGAGCTTTCCCCCAAGGACTATCTACACTTAAGTAGCAACTGTAGAAATTTGTGGTTGAAATTCTTGAGGCTTGTGTTAATTATATTTTATGCCCTGCAGCATTTTATTAAACCTCTTGTTATTAGAAAGCAGGTTGTTTAACTTTTCCCCCTGTGTCTGTCTTTGCTTTTGTACAGAGCACTGTTATATGGTGGAATGCGTGAATCTCAGCCTGAAGCAGAAATCCCTCTCCAAGACACCACTGCAGAGGCCTTCACAATGCTGTTAAAATATATTTACACGGGTCGAGCCACACTAAGGGATGAGAAGGAGGAGGTCCTCTTAGACTTCTTGAGCCTGGCACATAAATATGGTTTTCCAGAATTGGAAGACTCAACTTCTGAATACCTTTGCACCATCCTGAACATTCAGAACGTTTGCATGACCTATGATGTTGCAAGTCTCTACTTACTTCCCAAACTGACATGTATGTGCTGCATGTTTATGGACAGAAATGCTCAAGAGGTGCTGTCAAGTGAAGGGTTTCTGTCACTTTCTAAGGTATGTGTCAGTATGCTGGCTGAAATGCTGTTCTTCATTTTAAAAAAATCAGTTTTAATTCTCGTGTTCATGAAGGTGTAGCTGGAAATTTGATGGTAGGATTTGTGGGGAATTATTGTGTCATGAAAGTTCATGTTCCTATTTTCTGTATTATCTGCGATGATTTATAAGGTATGCGTTTCCGTGGAAAAGTACCAGGACTCAGTTGTAGTTTGGTCAAATTTTTGTGGTCCTCTTCTAAAGACACCAGTTGGAATTCACAGGAGTTTGATAGTATTCGCCATGTTTTTCTCCATGTATGCCCTCTGTTGTCCTCTTCTAAAGCCACCAATTGGAATTCACAGGAGTTTGATAGCCATGTTTTTCTCCATGTATGCCCTCTGTTTTTTACTGCTACTGTGAGATTGCTGAGCTACAGCTGTCTGCCCACTGAGATGGCCATTATGTTTCTCTTTGTTGGACACCATTGTGACTGTCCTTGAACTAAGGTGCTATGGTTCTGAACCGTCCCTTAAAAGGTAAATGTTCCCCTTGACATTTAGTCCAGTCATGTCCGACTCTAAGGGGCCGTGCTCATCTCCGTTTCCAAGCTGTAGAACCAGCGTTTGTCCATAGACAGTTTCCATGGTCACATGGCCAGCGTGACTAGACATGGAACGCTGTTACCTTCCCACTGAAGTTGTACCTATTTATCTACTTGCATTTTTATATGCTTTCAAACTGCTAGGATGGCAGGAGCTGGGACAAGTGGCAGGAGCTCACTCCATCGTGTGGATTTGATCTTACGACTGCTGGTCTTCTGACCTTGCAGCACAGAGGCTTCTGTGGTTTAACCTGCAGCGCCACCACGTCCCTTAACTGTTCCTTACTAGGGGTTAAATAATTGGGCTCAATTTGGTTAGGACAGTTTCAAGTAATACTTTATACAGCTGGCATATACAGATCATTATTGATATTGCCAGGGTGGGGACAAATTAATGGTTCAGGAGCTGGCAAAGGGTATCATTTGCATTGTAAAATGAAATCTATGGAATTTAAAATAAAACCATACTGTATGTGGCATGCAAATACCTCAGCCGACATAGAGCATGTTTTTCTGGGAATTTCATAATTAACATGGTTGCCTCACTTGTAACTGCAAGTAAAAATTCTCATCAACAATTGGCCACACTGCTGTATTATTGTAATTTTTTATATTGTTTAACATTCAGGTAAGAAAATGAGAGTAAAATCTAGCATTGCAAAAGTAGGTCTCTGCTTATGCAATGGGATATTCACCTCCTCTTCTTCCCCACATTGTCCTGCATGCAATTCTAAATGATTAAAGAATACTCCAGGTCTCATGAGTGGGTTTTGAAGGTGCCTGGGAGGTTGGAGAAAGGAGGAGTGTCTCCTTCTCATTCTACTGATGGAAGCCATTGTGCTGAGGATAGATATTTATTGGATACTCTCCAGACTTGAGAGAATCCATGACTGATGACGATGCCTGTGGCACAGTCAGTTTTACAGTCTATTGAAATGGAAAACTAGTTATACAAAGAAATGATTAGATCATTAAATCTGTCACTGGAATTGATACAGTACCGATAATTAAAATGGAAGCCAGGTCAGAAAATAGTTCTGTATTGTTCTGAGATTGCTATGGGGCTGTGCTCACACTACAAGTTTTATTACATAGTGCATCAACAGTTGACAAAAATTACTATTTTGGCAAGGCTGCTACTTTTGCAGGATTCTGGACCTTTGTGTCATATTTTGATTCTTTATATGTAACTCTGTCTGGACACTTGAGAAATGATTAGTCTCAAAATAGCTACATTTGTTTAAACCCGCATTGCACTCTGCTGTTGCTAAGCGTGCCTGGGAAGCAGGAGAGACAAAAACTTTCAAAAATAATTATAGTATTTATATCCCATCTTTCTCCTAAAAAGGACCCCAGGCATCTTATATCATTAGAAGGAAACAATATTAAAGGCTAAAAGCAGTAAATTATTAATATTTTTTTTAAAAAACAATTAAACATCATATTAAAAACAGTAAATAAAAACAGTACTAAAACTCTTATATCATTAGGAGGAAACAGTATTAAAGGCTAAAAGCAGTAAATTATTAATAATTTTTTTTTAAAAAAAACAATTAAACATCATATTAAAAATAGTAAATAAAAACAGTACTAAAACATATTGAAAAGCAGCAAGACACAACAATCCCATTTAACCCCCCCTTCTCAGACAACCAGTTAATTAATTGATAGCTTTCCTGAAGAGAAAGGTGTCTTGTTCTTTTTTTCTCTATAAGAATCTGTTGATCATTGTTTTCTCTCTTTTTTTGTGGTTCTATATATATTAGAATATGTCTCAGTAATGTAGGCAGTGCCTACATTTTATACAAAATAATTAAAATACATGGTTTCAGCCTTTTACAAATGAATTATGCCTTTTATTATTATTGTTGTTAAATTGGTAAAGATTACTGAATGTTTTAGAATGAATGTTGATGTTGGAGGGGGGGATAATGTGACTCATAGATCAAAATTGGATTTATACCCTGGCCTTTGAATGGTGGAGCACTATTCAATTTCTGTGCTAGTTTCTCAGCCCTTCAGATCCATTTCTGAGAAAGTAGGATTGTCTGCCTCCCAGTTCTCTGGGGTCCCATTTTTACTCCAGCAGAATGCTACTGTGGGATATTTCCATTTGTTTATAAATATGCTAGTTAACACAGTCATAATTTTAATCTGAAAGATGAAATATATATTTAACAATCATCAACAATGAATGTAGTGGACAGATGTTGTTTGAAGAAGTACAGTTAGATGTGTTTTCTTTTAAGTCAGTGTTGTAATTCAAAGTTCTGCTATAATGACGTTAACTTTTTCCCCTTGACTTTTAGCCAGCTCTTCTCAGTATTGTACTGAGGGATTCATTTGCAGCACCTGAGAAGGATATTTTCCAGGCCTTGATGAACTGGTGTAAACACAATCCCAAGGAAGATCATGCTGAAATTATGCAAGCAGTGCGCTTACCTCTGATGAGTTTGACAGAGCTTTTAAATGTTGTAAGGCCTTCTGGCTTGCTTTCACCTGATGCCATTTTGGATGCCATCAAAGTTCGATCAGAAAGTCGAGATATGGACCTCAACTATAGGGGCATGTTAAGTAAGCCTCAGTTTTCCATGCTAATAAAGAAATGTTTTGTATATTTCTCTTTAGTTGAAATCATTTTGGCTTACTATTGATGCCCTGGAAATGTTAAGTAGTACAAATAGAAAGTTTCTGAAATTGTTAACTTTTCGTTATTCTGATTCTTGGGTATCATAGGAACATTCAGTGCAATGAATGTTTCCAGCAGTTTGATTTAATAGAAAAGCACCTATTCTCATGGAGTTATGCTTGCAACTAGAGATGGGGGTATTCATATTCATGTAAGAATATCTCCACGCAGCTGGAGTTGGGGGCCTGGCCCCTGGGGCTTGACCTTGCACTCACACGTCTGCCGCTGCTTCCAATCACTGGTGGGAAGAGATGAGGGAAGTATTATGTGTATGACTGATCTTCTGTAGAAAGTTTCTGAAATTGTTAACTTTTCATTATTCTGATTCTTGGGTATCATAGGAACATTCAGTGCAATGAATGTTTCCAGCAGTTTGGTTTAATAGAAAAGCCCTATTCTCATGGAGTTATGCTTGCAACTAGAGATGGGGGTATTCATATTCATGTAAGAATATCTCCACACAGCTGGAGTTGGGGGCCTGGCCCCTGGGGCTTGACCTTACACTCACATGTCTGCCGCTGCTTCCAATCACTCCCAAGCACTATTCTCTTCCGTGTCATCTAGCCATTCCTGGGAGAGGAAGGGAGGACGAGTGTCCCTGCAAGGCTACTGAGCAGTGCACCAGAGTGATTGGAAGGAAGAGAGGGGCTGCTACTGGACATGTGAGTGGATGGTCCGGCCCCAGGTGCCGGACCCTCGTTAACTCCAACTGCATGGGGATATTCGTATACAAATACGAATACAGCCATCTCTACTTGCAACCAATATTTCTTGTCTCTGCTGAGAGTTGATTAGTCCTGGATTGGAACCCAACTTCAGATGATTCCTCCTGTTGTATTCACCTGGTGACGGAATCCAGCTCTTTTGGAGATACTGCTGCTACTGGTGAGTGGATGGTCCGGCCCCAGGTGCCGGACCCTCGTTAACTCCAACTGCATGGGGATATTCGTATACAAATACGAATACAGCCATCTCTACTTGCAACCAATATTTCTTGTCTCTGCTGAGAGTTGATTAGTCCTGGATTGGAACCCAACTTCAGATGATTCCTCCTGTTGTATTCACCTGGTGACGGAATCCAGCTCTTTTGGAGATACTGGTGGGAAGAGATGAGGGAAGTATTATGTGTATGACTGATCTTCTGCCTGTGTTGCTTTTGGATAAACGCTCTGCTTGTTTAACAGGATTCCTAGAAGTGTTTCTGAAATAGTCAGTCCTTCAATGTAGATAGTAACAATTGTAACTAATAGGTCACCGCTCACTTCCTTCAACTGTTACCTTAAGTAGGCTGAAAATCTTTAGTGGCATGTTGAGCTGTTTTCTTTAAAACATTATTTAAATTTGTTCTATTTTCCCCAAGATTGAGCATTAAGAACCAGAACATGTATGCCTAATAGCAAAAATGTGTTTTGAACATATTTTGTTCGAAGGTAGCCATGATTCTGGCTTATCAGAAACAGTGAGACTTGCTGTAGTCATGTGATATGTCCTGGTCCATTGCTTGAAAACAACAACTTAGTAATGAGTTACAGCTATGTGTCTGACATTTTTATTCTCCTGGCAAATGTTCCAAAACAAGAGATGAGAGAGGCATAGCTACAATCCAGTAGAAGGCTTTTTCCATGTAGGAGTAATGGCTTTTATCAAAATTTTCTGTGTTTTACCTTCTGTGCTGGGAGCAAATAACACAAAACACTTCACCATATCCTCCTCTTTTATCCCAGTACCAGGTGAGAACATTGCCACTATGAAATATGGAGCCCAAGTGGTAAAAGGAGAATTGAAATCTGCTTTGTTAGATGGAGACACACAGAACTATGATTTAGATCATGGATTTTCCCGTCATCCCATTGATGACGACTGCCGTTCTGGTATTGAAATTAAATTGGGTCAACCATCAATAATCAACCATATTCGACTATTGCTATGGGATCGTGACAGTAGGTAAGTTGCTTATAAATCAAATTTATTCTTTTTATTAGGTTTTCTCTTAGAATAGTTTGGGAAAGGATGGGATCAGGGTATAGTTTTCAGCATCAAGTCACAGTACACCACCATCAGTAACTGAATGCTACAGAATAATAATAATAATAATTGTGGACTGTTAAGTCACTTCTGACTTATGGTGACCCTTTTCAGAGTTTTCTAGGTACCGAGTACTCAGAAGTGATTTATCATTACTTTCTTCTGGGGGTGCCTTGGGACAGTGCAGCTTGCCCAAGGCCACACATGCTGGTTCTTCCAGGAGGCGCAGTGGGGAATTGAACTTCCAACCTCTTCCTCTGTCGCCAGATGCCTAACACACTGAGTTATCCAGTTGCTACATAGATAGATTTTGTGATTCTGTATAGTTCCCTTTTCTCCTTCGTCTGGTTCTCGATTTAAGAATGACTTGGGCGATCCGTGAGTTTTTAACAAAACATCTTTATTTGGTAACAACTTGTTAATTTCAACGTTGATAACAGATTCTTTCTCCTACTTCAGGGATGTGTCATTTTTTCCCTTTTCCATCAAACTATTACAAATTCCCTTTTAATTGTAAGGGGGAGGAACGTCTGTGGAATGCCTGATTCATCGGGTACACTTGCTGTTAACCTTATTGGGGAGGGTGGAAAACCTAGCCTACCTGTGGTTCCCAGACATTCTTGCCCGGGTTTTGCCTCAACCTCGGTTCATTCTGGGAACCCGGTTTTGCCTCAACCTCGGTCGGAATGGACTTCCTCCATGGGTTTCCCAAGTCTACATGGTCTAGTACATGGCCTTATTATCTCACCTCTGGACCTCCTGCTGCTGCCACTCTCTAAACTTTCTCCTTCTTTCTCTTTCTTCTTTCTCACCCCAATAAGGTGCCTTTCTGTAGACTTTCTTCTTCCACTCCTTTTCAGCATACTCCCTAGGGACCTTAAACTCTGTCCACTCCCATGTCCAGGGGGCTTCATGTACTATTTCCACCTATCCTTCTCTCTTTCATCCTCCTCCTGTAACCCACAAGCGTTGCCCTCTTCAATTTCCAACTGCCCTTCCCCCTCCTCCTTTCCTTTTATCCCTTCCCTCCTTCCTGCTGAAATATCACCCTCTAGTGGTGCCTTCGCCTCTTTTTCCTCCTGCCCCTGCTCCTCCAAACATAGTCCCTTTAGGTGTTCTTCCAGGGTAGATATTTGTCTCTTGGTGTCTTCGATTGAGGAGGCGGATGGTACACTCTGAGGAGTGCCTCTTGGAGTACTCCCAGCCTCCCAGACTTTGATTAAGATACACAGAGTCATGTTTCTGTAGTTCCATGCTGTAGAATTTCACACTTAAAAGGGGAAATATCTCAATGGGGAGCTATGAGGAAAGGGTGCTTTGCAGAAAAATTGAACAGTTTGCTATTCCTGTAACCAGCAGTTTATCTACCCAGTTTTCTGGGGGAAACTACAATCTATGATGAATAACTCTTCACTCTTCTTCCCTTGACTTATGAATATATTCTATTTCAACATTAGCTTGAAATTAAGTGCTATTGCATTATTATCATGGATTCACTATTTGTGTAAGCTGCAGGCAATGCTTCTTTGTAGAAGTTAATGACTTTTTCTTCAGTGAAACCTTCCTCTGTTTGCAACGAAGTATCAAGGTCTTTCACAGAGATAATTTTCGTTTCTTTTGATGTCAATTTGATCAATAAGCAATTTCTTTGTCTCTACAACCATTACCCTACCTAGGTTTCCCCCACTCCCTTTATCTATCTTATCACTCCCTTTATCTATCATGGCTGAGTCTGAGAGTTGCTGAGTCTGGTGAATCTTTTTTGTGATCTCTGTGTCTTACACATGTGGGTCTTGTGTCTGCATGGAGCATTCTAGAGACAAGTAGCTTTTAGTGGGAACCTCAGTCTTAACCTCCACCATGCATGCTCCAGTGTTCTTCAGGAGTGTTCTTCAGCCACCTCCGCTTAGTTCCTTTTCATTTCCTACAAAAGCAGCAGTTTGTAAAATTCTTTCTTTGGCTTTCAATTTTTGATGACTATTTAATCTATGTAAATGTTTGTTTATATTTTCCTGTAATGCTTAACGACTGGATTTTTCAACAGTTTTTTTTTGTCAGCATTTGGGGCTTCTGCTAGGACTTTATGGCTTGAATGATCTCCTTTATAAAATGGAATGGCTGTAGGGGAAAGATTGCCATCTGAGATAATCAAAAGGTGTCTGCTGATTGAGTGTGGAACATCTGACTCAATCCTGCTCTGTTTGCAGGGTATCACAAAACATGTTTTAAAAGAGTTACGTATATCATCTAAAGATGTTTATCTAGGAGCAGTTGTTGAAAACAGCAGTTTAGGCTGCTTTAAATGTGCTGCTTTCCATCATTTGTTCAGTGAAGATTTGTTGTCTAAGACTTTGAATTCTATCTGCACTGCCACTGCTTCTTTGATGTTTCAGTCCTCACCATCTTTAGCATTCAATATCCTTGACATTGATATCTATATCATTGTCAGTGACATCTCAGGTTTCAACTCTGTCCACTTTATTCCAAGTGCACGTTACTCTGAGAAGTGGCATGGGCAGGTATCTGTTTCAGAACCAAAAGGAAAGTAGCCTAAAAGAAAGCTATGATGAGAACTGACCTTCTGTTACAAATGAATTTGGTAGTGATCTTCTCTTCATATAAGTCATTTAGTCCCCTTCTTCAGCGCTGATAGTGATTTTAACTTATCTGTCTACTCAACCTCTGCTGAATCATCCATAGATATTTAACTGCACCAATTTTGATTAGCTTCAGATTGATGCAGCACACCAGAAGGAAAGCTACGAGATGGAACCCCTCTACAAAATGTGCTGCACACTGCTATATTCTTGATTTACTATCTTTAAGAGGCTTATCACTATTGGTTATATTCTCAGCAGGTATAGTTCCAACAATATGTGAGGGAAATTGATATCTCTCTACATCTCTCTATATGTAAAGGGATTTTGTTTCTAGCCATTGATAGCCCTATTTGCCCATGCAGGTAACTACCAACCAGCCATGGCTGCTTATTAGCAACTTCTATTTGAGAAGATGGATATTGGCATATAGTGTCCCCTGAATGATCAAATAAATTTGGCAGCAATTCTTTTTGGAGCAAGTCCCATCACTTGACTGTCCAGCAAATCAAAATGACTTTGTATGCAGCTGATTGTCTGGTTACAGTTTTGCAAGAATTGTGCTCAGGAGCCACATGTGGCTTAGATTGATAGGAGTGTCAGATTATAGCAATGGTCTTCATGAAGTGTATAGCAGCATTTGTTGCATTTTTCTGTATCAGAGGGGGTGACAATGTTTCCATAACATAGATGAATGTTTTTTGATAATAAACTCTGACTTACTCTGAATAGATCTCAACTTTTCTATCACTTTGTGAAAAAAAAATCAAGTCTTTGTGTCAACATCTCACTTTGATTTCTTCAGTTCAGTTCATTGGTGCCTAGATTCATCAGTGGCCAGATCCTGTTTTTCTGTGGACAGGGCTCAGATGCTAGCTCTTATGGCCCTTTCAGATTGCTTCTGCAAGGGTATCCAGGTCCAAGGTTCTTCAGCATCTGTTGAGGTTTATGAATATGAAAACAAACACATTTCATATTGCCATCAATGGTGGAATTGTATTGTGTACTTACATTTATGTCATCCTGTGGAATTGGTGTAATCTTGGAATAATCAGGTCTTTTGATTCATAGAGCATTTTTGTAAATTTGGTGTGTGGAAAATTTCATTTTTTACAAGTTATTTCATTTCTTTTTCAAAGATCTTACTCCTATTATATTGAAGTATCCATGGATGAGCTGGACTGGATTCGTGTCATCGATCACTCGAAATACCTCTGTCGATCATGGCAGAAACTGTATTTTCCAGCACGTGTCTGCAGGTTGGTGCAGAATGTGAGAGCCTTAGTACATGTTTTGTTATTGGATGAGTCTGAATTATTTTGATATAGCTTGAAATAATACAACCAATTCTAAGAACAGAGACTTTAAAAAGGGCTAATCAGCGATTGAATGTCACTTGGGGGGGTTGAATAAAAACTAATAATGATGTGAGCACAGAAAAGACATTTGTGGTTATTTCATTATAAACTTAAGGTTATATTTCTCTGACCTACAAGTGCCTCTTTCATGTAAATGTAAGCAAGATGACTGAATGATCAAAATCAATGTCAAAATGGCCAAAACATTCAATTTCAGTGGGGGTTGAATAATTTTGAACACAACTGTAGCTTGAAATAATACAACCAATTCTAAGAACAGAGACTTTAAAAAGGGCTAATCAGCTATTGAGGTATTTGTGATTATGAATTAGGGGCTGCAGGTTTTCTGTATTTAGAAAAAAATTGCCAATTTCTCCCCACATCCTCTCTTCGTTTTCATATACAAGCATTTTTGTTTTTCAGTCCTGTAGCACAAGAAGCCAACAGCAGTTTAATATGTAATTATATATAGTAAAAATTGCACAGAACAGCCTACTTTTGCAAGTTCTTTATATTGCTGTTTAAATTGCTGTTTCTCTTTAATTTTGATAAAATATGGCTGAAAAAAAGAGAGAAACAATCCAGAAATTGCTATTATCTCTGTTAACTCATCAGTTAGCTACTACTTAAACTACAACTCAGGAGTGGCCAAAGTCCTCTTGCATAACTTACATTATTGCAGGGGAAATGATGTCATTTGGAATGGGGTTTTTGGAGTTCAGGGACTTACATTCACTCAGAATTGTGGGAATGAAACCCTCCAAACCAGAAGTCAACCTTTTGTACCTCCATACCATTCCTGTGCTGCTGCTGCTGCTTCAAATGTTGAGAAAAGTACGCCACTGTATTATGGGAATCACAAGGATTCGCTGCAGCTCACAAAGATGTATGGGAGCTTCAGATCTGATGAACATACACTCATACACTCTAATGAGTGTCAGAATCCTTGCAACTTGCACACTGCAGGGACATGACCCTGAATCTATTCTGAGTTTCTGTAACTAGAGGTTGCTAATTTGAGGGCCTGCTACAATCTTACTGCTTGCAAGTCAGGTGGATTCACGGGTTGCAATATGGACTCTAATTAGCAGCTGCTAAAATTCCAGGTTGTGCCACAGCAGGTGATGTCATTTCTACTGTGCCTCTGGGAGTTACACAGAAGGATTTTGGCCACTGGTTGCAAAATACATAGTTTATGCATAGCTAATTTTGTAATGCCAGTTTAAGCTCATTGCTTCTGAGAATCAGAGTTAAGTGTTGCCACAGAATCAAATGCATTTTTAGTTTCCATCATTTTTTGTTTTCCTGTAGAAGATACTAACTTCACTGTTGAGGCAGCTGCAATTTAACAACTTAATTTTAAATGTTTGCAATGAGACAAGGATTGCAGTTGCAACGGATCTGCAAAGTATATGTTTTTCCTTCTGTTCTCTGCCAATCTTTATTTAAAGCTCCCTTTACCCTATGGTACAAATGTTACACTTCAGCTTTCTAGAATAATTGTTTTTATATATTTTTTCCTGACTTGGATTGAGAAAAATATTTTGTTTCTAAGAGCAGAGAAGTAAGTGCTCAAGGGGATAAACTATTGGAGAGATGCACAAAGTAACAATAGCATTTTCTGGGAATTTTGTTTTTATTTGTTTTCTTTGAAGTCCTCAGGGGTTTCAAGAGAGTGATTCAAAGCAGAGATGTCCTCAAAAACGTAATAAAAGTTGTTTTTAGAAAAGGAAAAGATAATTATTTTATTTTGAAAAAGAGGGGCAGTTATAACATTTGTATTTATTCTGAATTAAAGTAAAAGTAGTTTCTGAGAAGATAATCATTGAGTTAGAAATGTTTTGGAAAGCACAACTGTCTATGGGCAACTGGAGATTCAGACAGGTAGAGAGCATCTCATCTTCTGATTCCTGAGGATTTATGCAGCAGTGGAGAAACACTAGGCATAATAAAATAAGAGACATATGGATCTGAACTACCAAAAACATTCAAAGAATGCGTACTGCCTTTCATTTTAATAATAGTCATTAATATTGTCTTGGATGGTTAGGATTGTGTAGATTGCTTCATGGAGTTTTCCTTGGTTTGTTTTCTTGTTCTGTATTCCCTGTTTAGTTTTAGTTTTTAGTTAGAATGCTAACTTCATAGGAACATAACGACAAAGTCACAATGGAAGAACATGTTCCACACAATGCACAGTCTCTTTTAGTTAGTTTATTAAAATGTAAATGTATTCCAGAAATTTCACAATAGAGGCTGATTAAGTCTGCCTAATCTGTCATTCGCTCTGTTACTTGCCATATATTGACAGTATTACAACTTGGGATTGGCTTTGAATAGCATTTTGAAAAGTTCATTTTTGTTTTTAAACCATTGGCACTATCATTACATTCTTTGCATAGTACATTGCAACAGAGCCACTGATTGGGCCACATATTTGCTTATAGTATTGTGTAAGTAAACCATTATGACTCAGAAAACGTTGGTCTTCGTTATGTAGAAGATAACCTTCTGGTCATGGAGGAGCTGTTTTATGCCTTGCCCTAGTGTGTGTGTGTTTTAATTTTAGAGGAAAGTGAAAGCAAATCAAATATGGTTGTTGTGGGTTTTCCAGGTGGTTTGGCCGTGTTCTTAAGGTTTTTCTTCCTAACGTTTCGGCAGTCTCTGTGGCTGGCATCTTCAGAGGACAGGATTCAGAACTCTATTTGTGCTCTGGTGCAATTTGTTGGATAGCTGAATATTTATAACTGTGGGATCAGCTTTTGTCCTTTTCAGGAGATTGGGTGATTATGGTGATCAGCGTGTCACCCAATCTCCTGAAAAGGAGAAAAGCTGATGCCACAGCTATAAATACTCAACTATCCAACAAACTGCACCAGAGCACAATAGAGTTCTGAATCATGTCCTCTGAAGACGCCAGCCACAGAGACTGGCTAAACGTTAGGAAGAAAAACCTTAAGAACACAGCCAAACAGCCTAGAAAACCCACAACAACCATCAGATCCTGGCTGTGAAAGTCTTTGAGAATAAATCCAAATATGTTTTTTATTGTATGTACAGGTAGAAATATCAAGGTGATTGTAGAATCTTTATATCTACACATTGTAAACATTTTGGAGAACCAGTAACTTCCTAGTTTATTATAAGAGGATACTGATTAAAGGAACAGAAAGAATTTTGGCCCAGAAAAAAAAACTTCACTCTGAAGGAATTACTCTCTTCTTAGTCCTGAGTTGAATTGAATGCTGAGCAGTTTAATTCAGTTACAATGAATCAAATTAAGAAAGAGTTATTCCAAGTATATGTGCAGAAGTGTCTGATGCTTCTGAATCTGAGTGTGAACATGATCAAGCCCTAGCATGGAAAATTACTGTAAGCATCATGGAAGAGTGAATTTATTTTTGTTAAAAGAAAAGACAACTCTTTTTCAATAAAATTCTATGATATAGACCTTCCTATTTTGGCACAAGAACATAAGTACATATAGTATTCACTGTTCAGTAAGGAAGTTTGTGCTTTTCAGATGAAGTTGTTTAATCATGAAGCTGATATAATGTATGGTGATACGTTTTTTGGTTATTAACTGATGCATCTTATTAATAATTGAATCTTTATTGTATTAGAGGTTATGTAATTTATTTTGCACTTTGCTTATGCAAATTTGTTGAAGGTGAAAACATTGATCTAGAAGTCTATGAATGGCAGATTTTATAGCCTTGGCCTATTTTTCCATGAGGGAGCTACTATACATTTAGTATACCTAGTATACTAAAACAGTTTGTTATACTTATTTCTTTAATGCTTTGAAAATGGGGAAAGAAGGCCAAATAACATGTGGTTATGATGATTGGAACCTAATGCAGTGGTTCCCAACCTTGTGTAATCCAGGTGTTTTTGGACTGTAGTTCCCAGAAGCTTTCACCACCAGCTGTGGTAGCCAGGGTTTCTGGGAGTTAAAGTCAAGAACATCTGGGTTACCCAAGGTAGGGAACCACTGCCCTAATGAATATAAAATGATCTTTTGTACATCCTACAAAGCCTAAGATGGGAGGCATGGTGCATCTGACATTTGCAGAAAGCGTGCTCACTACTCAAACTTAAATTTAAAGGTATAGCAATATAGTTCAAATGAGGAATGCATATCATCCATTCATAGTCCAAATTTAAACCAGCTATGAACCTTATTACCCACAAGCTAACATATACAAATAGTGGTAACTATGACTTAAAAAGTAGAGATTCTTTAATCTGCAAGGATTTAGGACAAGGAAACATTCTGTACAGAAACTTTTCTCTTCAGCTCACAATAGTGGGAGTTTGGCTATCTCAATCTCTTTTGCACAGAAGTGGAGGGAATAGAGATAGTTGGCTTAAATTCCAATTACCGGCTGGTTCTAATTATCCAAGATTGCAAACCAGGCCCTTCAATTTGTGTTTATATTTATTTCCCACTCTGACCTATTGGTTGATCAGCAGAGGTTTGGGCTAAACTGGATGATTTATTTGATATTCTTCTTACTGAGTTTCCTCTTCCTATATTTTGTGGCAGTCTCAGTACTAGAAAGGGCAACAATTGTCATATGATGAAAAAGGCCCTTGGACTTAAGCTCAGGAGAGATACAAACACCTATTTTCTCTAGAGCACCAAGATGTTCTTTTTTTTTTTTTTTTTGCCTGATTTATAAATTCTAGTTTGTGGGCTATAATGGTCCCCATTTAGAAAGCTCAGTTTAAATGATAAAGGAGACAGTTTGGTTGACTACTTTCTGAGGTCACCCTCTGTGAGTCCCCAGGTAATTGATGATGTACTTGATAGTAACCATCTCCTGCTCAGAATGATCTTAAGATTTCAACAAATACAATCTGGGGCTTTAACAGATTGTAAAATTCCAGTTAATTTA